CCAATGTCTAACGCCTGGCTGAAAAATTTTAAGCTACATGTATTACAGCCTTATATTAACTGCGACACACTTTCAAAAAATATGTGAACACGAACCAATGCGAGGAAACATAGTCCTACATCTATACATGTATGTTGTGTTTGAATCCTCCAATCCATGTTTGAACACATTGTGGAACTGGATACAAACTTTTCGTCAACGATCGGAAATCTTCAAATCAACTCTGAAGACAAAAATCTCATGCATTTGACTCAGAAAAAGTTGGCAGGTATATATAAGTTACATGCATGATAAACAATATAAAATTATTATAATAATTATATTTAATTTATTGTAATATTGTTTCAATCTATTTTGTAGAAAGTAGATCCTACTGTCCAAAGCAAGAACACGTTTAGCAAAGTCAAACAAGCTCCCGACTTCAGAAAAGTCAAACAAGCTCCCGACTTCAGAAAAGTTCATAGAAAATGGCAAGACCAACTGTCCAAGGTCAGTTCAACAATCCCAACCCCCCCCCCCCGAAAAAAAGACCCCTTAATCTGACACAAAAATCCTACCAACTATGCTCCTATCAGTCTAAAGAAATATCTAGCTTCTACCTGTGGTAAGCCCAGCCTTCTCAAAATGTTTTGAAAGAGTACTAAGGTTAGCAGGCCTGTAGACAGGATTTTGAATGAGGGGGGGTGTGAGAGTGGCAAAGTTGGTTTCGTACGAGGCGCAAGCTACTAGGGGGTCCGAGACTGCATTTCGTGGGTTTTAAAGGCAGTATGATATGAAACCAGGCAGCCAAAAGCGAACATAAAAACATGAATGTTTCTGGAACTGTTCAGTTAAAGAATCAAAATACCGATGAAACAATACTAAAAATACATATTGTGGACCTTCAATTAAAGACATTTTTAACCAAAGGAGTGAATATTTGGATGAAGAAAATGACTTGCTTGATGTTGTCTTTGTCGATGAAGACGATATGTAAACACGTTCAAACTACTCCTGTCCAGTTATCGAATTAGAACACAAGCACTACTATTTCACTTTCTTTTGAACCGTCGGTCCACTATACATGTAGGTGGACCTCCACAGTTCGTGGGGGGGGGGGGGGATACCCATTGCACCCCTCCTCCCTATGGGCCTCTGGGTTAGTTGACTGTAGGAGTAGGCTAGGGTATCATTGATAGTACACAGTGCATAGTACATATTCTGAGGCAGTCATTGTTTCAGAGGAGGCGGCTGATTGAGCCTACAGCCTACTGGTTTTGTGAAGGCTGTAAGCCTCTGTATTACAGTACAGCTAGTACTTGTTTTGTATTTTTACGTCCTTCCTTACAGTATGTTCAGAATTTGACAACCGTAGAACTACATGTATTCAATACAATGTACATGTACCATATGTCTATGGCAAAAAAAAAATGGCATGAAACAAAATGGAGCCTTCAATTTTTTTTTCTTATTTTTTTTTTAGGGCAAAGCAGTTTCCAAAAAGAAAAACACAACAGTAAGTACAATGATTTTGTTTACTTGACAACATGAATGTACATTAAAGAAACACTATAGCTTTTAAAGGAGCAATGTCACAATATATTTAGTCACTTTTACCAATGTACAGTACACAGTACAAAATCACCTTCAAATCAAACAAAACCATGAAATAACAATTTACTATGGTAGAATAACACCAAAGAGGTAATAATAAACTAAACAGGAACAAGGGCTATTGGGGAAGATTAAGACAGATTGCAAAAGACGAACTTGAAAAATTTAGGCCAATTTTTTCAAGATGCTCCCTCCGTGATCTACATGTAACTCCTTTAACATGAAAATGTTTGAACTGTTTTGTTCATCAGGTTGAACCATTCAGGCTTGCTGAAAACAGCCAAAAAACTGACAAAAAATCATATGCGTACAACAGTGACGACGATGATGATAATGATTCAGAGGATGATGACTTTGAGATCGACAGCACAGCCTTAAAGGAATTTTGAACAACACAGGAATTAAGGTAACTGACACACTTTCGAAAAATATGTAAACTTGAACCAATGCGAGGAAACATAGTCCTATAAATAACGCTATATGTCGTCTTTGAATCCAAACTGTGTCCAAATGTATTGTGAGACTGTACATGAACTCTTCGGAAATGTTCAGAAATTGTCGAATCATCTGCGGAAATCTTCGGCAATGTCCGGAAATCATCGGAACATCTTCGGAAATCCAGGTACTCTGAAGACAAAAATCTTATCTAATCTCATTACATCTTGAAACGCTATGTGTACAAGTACAGTCAACTCTTGTTTTAGCGGACATCCTTGGACATAGTTTGGAGTCCTTACTAGTGAGAGTTCACAATAGCAGTTAGTAGTCATTTTCAGTCAAACCTCTATAGCTTTCACCGGAAGGAGGGCTGGATTTTATCCAAAATAGCAGGTGTCCATAATAACTTGGTGTCCGCAAGGCGAGAGTTGACTGTATTTGCCAATGATTATTTTTCAGAATGAAGATCTCCGATTCGGTGGTCGAGCAACCATTGCAGCAATTCCTTCAAGGTGAGTGGTGTAAAGGCCCGGTCAAACGGTCACAACATTTGTCACAACATTTGTTGTGACATGTCGTGACCATGATGCCGGTCAAACGGCCACAACAACCTCACAACATTTCAAAAACAAAAGAAATGTTGTGACGATGTTGAGACAAAGTTTAAATGAATTTAAACTCTTCACAACATTGTTGTGAGGGGTGGTCAAACGGTCACAACATCGGCTCACAACAAAATGTTGTGAGAATGTTATGACAAAATGTTGTGACCCGTTTGACCGAGCCTTAAAACTATAACCAAACAATCACAATGACCAATCACAGCCAATGTAAACAACAGGGACAACACAATGAACCAATGAGAACACGAAGCAAATACAAGTAACTGGTGCCAAGCGTGGGAAAACTTGCTTCTGACTGGTTGAGTAGGTGGCGCGAGTTTTTTTAAGCCAATAATAGCAATCCTGGATTACTGAGTTGACACTGATTTGTTGTGTTGTGTACGTTCGCTGTTATTTGCCATCGTGATTGTTTTGGGTTCATTCTCGTCCCCAGAGGCCACAATCCTTTTGGTCAGCACCAAGAATCGAAACCTCTGGCAGGTCCCAATTTGTTGAGCATGCTCAGAGTACTCGTTCTGTACTCTCAGCCAATCAGATTTGTCAGCTGACCAAAAGGATCGTGGCCTCTGGGGACGAGAATGTTTTGGGTTTGGTTTTACAACAATAGTTGAAAACTTCTCTATCCGAAAAAAGAAAATGTCAGAAATGAATAAAAATACTTTGTTGAATTTTTATGATGGTTCTGCCCCAGCACTGTATTCTTTAGTAACAATGTACTTAGAATTTCCATCTTTTCTTTCTTGCACAGCAAATCCGAGCAGGCCAGGAACTCCATTTACTTCACACGACCACCGACCCAGCATGCTGCTGGAGTGCCGTCAAGTACTACTCAGGTTGTTGTGTCTCCACTGAAACCGCGCAATGTTGACTTTGTGCCCGCTAGGTCCCAGGCTGTCTCTAGTGCAAAGAAACAGGTGGCCTGGGCGGACGAAGGTAAAAGAGTGAATGCTTGCCATTTTGGTCTGAAACGTTTCTGAAAATTATGATTTTGGTGACTCAATTTTAACCATCTATACTTCTCTAAAGTTTACGAGCAGTTTCTACTTCAAGGAACGTCGAAGGAGAAATATGGCCATGTAAAAACTGCAGTGGAATGTAGGGTCACTACCGTGAAGTTCCGAAAGTAACTACCCCCTAAAGTAGCGAGCCCCAAAGGCTGCTCAGGGACGGATCCAGGAATTTTTTATATGGGGGTTCCAGGATTTTTCCCGAAAATGTGAAGTAGAGGGATAATTTTTGGAAGTAGACGGCAGTACTCAGTTATTACTAAAAGGCGCAGAGGGGAGTGTTTGGAGGCCTCCCCAGAAAAAATTTGAGATTTCAGGCCCTGAAAAGTGCATTTGGGTGGATCTTGGAGATGGTTTTGCTATGGATAATGGAGAAAGCAAAAAAAAAAACTCCTCAGGTCTGATAGGGGGTCGGACCCCCCCCGACCCTCCCTGGATCCGCTACTGCTGCTAATTTCGAAAGTAACGACCCCCAAACAGTATTTCACTTCCTCCTCTCCTTTCAATTTTCACGCGGCTACTTTCCTTGCTGACCTTTTTAAAAAAGCTTCTCGCTCAATACTCAAATACATGAGCGAAAATAGGAACTGATAAGTGATTAATATGAATGAAATCATGTATGAACTGCAGATAGAGAGTGTCACGTGAACAAATGATCCTTGCAGTTGTGTGTGCAAAGTAGCCTGCGTGCAGACGTCTCCTATTTCCTTGCTTCACGCGGAGACGTCTGCACGCAGGCTAGTGCAAAGAAGCCTGGAAAAAATTCTGGCTTCTATAGGATTTGAACTCATGACTTCCGTGTTACCGGTGTGGTGCTCTACCAACTGAGCTATGACAGAAGCCACACATTGGAATCAGGGTCACAATAAGCGGTACATGGCTTTGGCTTCCTTGTATGCGTTATGGTATAGATTTAACGTGCGTAGCCTGTTTCAGGCGTTCGGATAGTGGGGGAGCGACGCGAAAAGACGCGCTAGCGCGAAGAGTGGCGAGTGACGTGCGAGGTTTTTTTTAACCAATCAGTGAGAGGCCTGTTTTAAAATGACAGTTTTATTAAATGCAGTGAACCATCACTTTGTCTTTTTCAGTTTCGGAGAACGATGTATTTGACTTCCAACCAGACAGTCAAGCTTTACAAAGTATTCTGAGCAACACTGGAATAAATTTCGACCAAATGAGAGTTCAAAATACTAGTCGAGTGACTCTAGCTGGCGGACGACTTACACCTTACCGAAGACCTCGTCAGTCTTTTAGAGAGGTGTGTTTTATGAAAAGAATGTACATGAGAATGATGTTTATCAGTCAGTGACACAAGCTACTCGGAAAAAAAATTTCCGAGTTCTCCCAACAGGAGTCGAACCTATGACCTTCTGCACACCGGTCAGACGCTCTACCATTGAGCTACGACAGGGCTGAATAACGTCTGCGCATGCCCCAAGCGCTCGCCAGGAAACCATAGCAACAACATAGGTAAAATGGCGGAATTTCAAAAAATGAAACGCCGTGAAGGTTTTCGCCTAGAATAAGAGTTTGCCTGTAAAGTTAAGCTTTAAAATCTTGCAGCGGATCCGCCTGTTACTGAGAAAAAACATATCTTTTTTTTTAGTGAACACCAGGGTTTCCTTTCTGAACACCAGCTGAAAAATAGCCACAAAGCCAGAGTCCGCGAAAATGCAGAAACGAGCTCAGTAATGTTATACTCAAGTTTTCTCGTATTCCACGGCATTTCATGGCGAAAAATCTTCGATGTAAACTTTAAAGTGTTCAAATTATTATTTGCGAAAGTAGGAAAAGGAAATATTCCCGTTTTGGAGCGGAAATAAAAGACATTTATCTCTCCTTGCCGTCGTGTTTCAAAATGACGAAAGAACCACACACACAAACACGTTCGCGCCGAAAATTTTCTCTTGCTGTCATGGCATCCCGCACACGCGCAGACGTTATTCAGCCCTGTCTTGAGCTACAGGAAACTCGTGGGAGCTTAGACCATATGACTAGGTTTAAATGTGACAAACTTCCCACATACTGCTAGGATTAGTCTGTTACTTATTTCCATTACTGTTCTCTTCTTTGCTACCAGGAGCCCAGTAAAAGAGCGTCAATTTATTATACGGGTCCCAGGCGCACGCGTCCAAGCCCTAAGGTGTGTGGAATGGGACGACCTTCTGTATTGGGTACAAGCGCTGGTACAAAGCAGTTTACGGCGGGCCCCTGCTGTAAACTCTCAGCAAACTAGTGCTTACGATCCTTTTGCAACAATGGTTGGCAGACAGGGAAATCAGCAACAAGGTAAGTTATAAATTGATTCAGCTAAAGGAAACCATCGCGAGATTGGCGTTTTTAGCTTTTCATGTTTTCATGTTTTTTTTTCTTCTTCTTCTTCCTTGTAACTTACAGAATGCAGCATTTATTTGTTAGCCTGAAGTTAGCCTGCGTGCAGACGTGTCCTATTTCCTTGCTTCACGCCTGAAGTGTCTCTTTCACCCCATTCCCACTGACTTATGAGTCTGCCTTGCGCCATATGCGTGAAGTGACCCCCCGTCACAAGATAAATCTCGTCGGTTACGTTTGTCATTTCAACAGCCACTTCAAAATTACCAATAGCCTTGCTTTAACAGTGTGTTAGAGCGGTTTTCAATTGAGTGTCGAAAGTAATCGCGGAATTGCTTTGGTTTTGCTTTCCTAAGCCCTGTGATTGGTTTGAAAAATACGCGCCAGCTACTCAACCAATCAGATGCAAAACCAAAACCAATCGCGACTTGGTCGCACGCGTTTTCCCGCGCTTGGCGTCGGTTACCCACGTGCATTTGCTACGAGTTCTCATTGGTTCATTGTGTTGTTTTCATTTGCTGTGATTGGCCATTGTAATTGCTTTGGTTTTACGACACTCAATTGAAAACCGCTCGAATCTCTAGTTCCATTCAGTTTGTCTTCGGTATCAGAACTATCCTCAGCTGAATATGTAAAGCAGCGTTCAAATCCAGAGAGAAACTTGGAAAATTCACCGTTGCAGTTCACGTTCCCCTAAAACGCAGAATTTGGTCATTTCACGTTGTTGTTTTGCAGAGGACGGCTAAGAAATGTACCAGAGTATAACGCACGTGCAGAGCTATTGTACTGCTCATTAAACGGTTGACCTTTTGTTTAGCGACGTTCACGTTGCCGTCGTGGTTTGCTTAAACTCCCCGCTACCCTCCCCCCCCCCCCCCCCAACCTCGTTCCCTGTCATTTAAGCTACACGTACAGTCTTGTGCGTTTAAATTAAACGAAATATATTGGCAAGAAGCACGTGAATGACATTCCACTGTTCAATTGTAATATGGTTTGTGTGTTTATTTGTATTCAGAGAACGAACCTGTCGTCAATTTAGAAGTAAGGCAGTTCACAACAAGAAAACCTGAACCAGTCTTCCAGTCTACGAGTAACAATCCTCTGTTAACACCGTGCGTGAGCTAGTGACAAGCGCCCAGCCCTTCTCGGCCAGAGATCAGCCGAGTTGGGCAGAAATCTTCACACCACAACGAGGCGCTAGTACCCAGTATTCTGCAGCACAAACGACTCGTTCGCAGCCTTCTCTCGAACCATTACGAACTCCTGCGAAACAGCAGCAGCCTCTTCAAGCGGATATATGTACGCCGCAGCGAATAACTGGCATTCAAAACACCGCGATAGCACAAAGGCCTGTTCGCTCAACGACTTCAGCACGGCAGCCATTAGTTGACTGGACGCAACAACACGGTGCTTCCGATATTTTTACTCCACAACATTCATTTGCAACACCAGACAGCAGTTGACCACACAGACCGTAAATTTCCAGCGTCATCATGTTTCCATGGCAACGCCCTCCCGCCAGCCTCAGACTGGTTCCCAGGCTTCTAGATCAGAGTTGCCGCCTGAATGTCGACACGTGCAAGCGGCTACTTTCCAGCCCCCTGTAAGGACTCTCGCCATCCCGGCGAGACAAGGCCCGGCTGTTTTCCAGTCTTTTAGCTCAGATCAGCCGCCGCCATGGTCTGAGATTTTCACACCACAACGAGGCTCAAGACAATGCTCAACTGTTACGGTTAATTCCTTCAACGATCCTTTGGCCACCCCTGTGCGACAAAGTTTGTCTGTTACCCAGGGCTCCTGTTCCACTCAACAGCCTCCAATCGCTCACATCTTTACTCCACAGCAAGGCGGAGATACAGGCACGATTCAAGACCTCGGACCCAGGCTTCAATGCTCCACCGTTCAAGTCACTAGTTTCCAGCCCTCTGTTGTTACCACTCAGGGTTCTTGTTCAGTGGAGGAATTCTTAACACCGCGTGAGAAAGATGGCGTCCAAAAGGAACACTACAGATTGACTACTGTGGAGGTTTGTGATTGGCGTAAGATTAACGGTTGAAATCATGTTTGTTTTAAGGTGATTCCATCGGAATAAAAGTTGCGCTAGAAAGTTTCTGAAACTTTCCCTAGTTGAACATTGCGATGTTATGTTTCAAAATATACAATAAAAAGAATAGAGATATAATCGACTAAAAATACATGTACCTCATAATTCTTTACAAAATCAACCAAAAACACGTATTTTTCACGTTTCCAGTGATTCTATACTCCTTGTATAGAAAGAAGATGATTACTAGACTTAAAATATGCGAAAAAATGATAGGTCACGGTGCTCATTTTGATTTACCTATTACGATCATTTACCTCTCTGGAGTTTGTTGTTGGTTCTCATCCTTGCTCTGAGGGCCCCCCCCCCCCCCCCGGTACTCCTGTTCTCCTCCCTCCACAAAAAAGCAACATGTCTAAATTCCAATTCGATCTGGAATCCGAGGGCCACGGGTTTGTTAGTCGTAAAACTGTTATGTGTCACCCTCGTTAAAGAAAGTCTGCGGGCATGTTCTTGCAAATCCAGTTAGATATATCTGATTCTTTTTTCCTTCTTTCGTAGGAAGAGGACGACATCGCACGACTTGAGCGCCAAGCACTTGAAGACTTAGGTTTTCTAAAAATCACCGAGGTGCCCGTTACAACCGAGAAAACAAACTTGCGACCTGTATCAACATATGGGTCAGCGGGAGGCGCCCCTGAGCAGCTCAGGTCTTCATGTAACACAACGTGGACGAGTACTAAGCAACAACCGAGGTCAAGCTTCTCTCCGGTTTTGCCATTTACCGCTGTAGCAAATGTCCGCAATACTTTACAAAGTAGCTGTCCTAATGAAGGGGGAAGGGAGTGGGTGAACTCTGGAGATGTTTCTGCTATCCCGTTCAATTCCACTCCTTTATTTTATCACCGAGATTTGTCTGACAATTGCGCTTCTCGACTTGACGAAGCTAGCACATATAGCGGTCTTCATCAAAACTCTCCATTTATAAAATACTCTCGGATAAATCAAACCCCTGCATTGCGCCGACGCCAGTGAAAGTTTCACACAGTTCGGCTTTAGGAACTACTTACAGGGAACCTCCCGTGACTTCTGTTTCAAGGCTGACGAGCCCTGTTCAAACACAAGAGGAAGCCCTTTCGAAAGAGCGAGGAGACGATCGTCCTATTCAAGTCGTATCACCCACTCCGAAGGTACAGAATTACAAACACGTCCCATCCGACAACAGAAGTCTTTCACTAAGATCAGCAGTGTTATCTACGAATACAACCACGACGGAAGATGCGACTTGCATTCAGTGGTGAGGCGAACACACGGTTTCGTGGGAACCGAGTGGTCCCGAGGTGTTCGAGTGCTTTCCGACAAACGGCTTCCGCTTCCCGAGCAATAACGAAAACGTTAGCTCAAAGAAGCGCTACTCGATATGGAAGTTTCTGTCTACATGACAGCTGGTCACGGTCGCGTGGTAACACCGAGGGTCTGGAACCACAGGCCGATGAATCCGCTGGCCAAAGTGTTTGCTGAGGGAGATTCAATGGTAAGTGTCAGGATTTGATGTGTTTGGAGTTGACGTAGCCTGAGATCAGGCTCCTAAAGAAAATCGGCGAGCGCCTGCGGGACGGGAACGAAGACGACGGAGCCTGAAGACATTCCTTTGATGCCGCCGATTCTGGTATCATGATCTGATTGGTCAAACACTTAATATTGACAGATTCGCGGTGAATGATAACAGATGTTGACAACACAATGTCAAAGCGTTGTTAGTTGAAGTTTCCCAGGCTCCTAAAGAAAAATCGCGTGGCCGGGGTGATCTCAGGCTAGAGTTGACGATTCGAGCAAGCTCAGGCCAAACGAGAACGAGAGTCTCCGAGAGTTGGAAGGAGGAGGAGGAGGAGGGGAGGAGGAGGGAGGGAGGGAGGAGGGAGGGAGGGAGAGGGAGGGAGGGAGGAGGGAGGGAGGGAGGAGGGAGGGAGGGAGGAGGTTGTCAAAACAAAGTGTTTTCAATATTTGACCATATTGTAGATAGACACAAACT